GGGGGAGGGGAGAAAACGAATGAAGAAGATATAGCAGGTTCAAATGAAAGAGGAACCAGAAGAGAGGAAAGAACAAGGCAAGGAACAGAAATAGGACAGATATACAGGAAGAAAGAGGGACTGTAGAGGATAAGAGACAAAGGAAAGAGGAAGAGAAGCGCAGGAGAGGGGAAGTATATATAATAGGGTGGCAGGTGAGAGCCGTGGGAAAAAGACCGTGTTGCTGCCTTTTTTGCAATGTTTGCTGGGTTTTTTGATTTTCTTCATTTTGAACATATATTTCACTGGTTTGCCATCTTAACTACCGAGCTTTGATGTGCCATCAAACCGGTCGAAGGGATCAGGCGTTTTTTGTGTTTTTTTGCAACTTTTCCCCAGTTTTTTGATTTTTTTGATTTAGGACATTTTTTCCCCCTGGTTTGCCATCTTATCTCTCGAGTTTGGATGTGCCATCAATTGGTGAACCGGTATATATTGGTTGTTTTGTCAGGATTTGTGAGGCCACTTGTCACTGGTCTGGATTTTACCATAAATCCTTCACCCCGCAGTGAACCGTCTGGTTTTCAAAAGACGAATCGAGTAGTCGAGTTCTGGCGAATGAACCGCAAGTTGCGAGCCCAGGGCCTTCATCCACTGCCAAACGCAGACGATGATTCGGACATGCGCAAATGGTGCGCAGACCTGAGGTCACAGAGAAGCCGTGATAGTGCAGGGGCTCCCCAGATCGTGAAGATCGGGCCGAACTGGAGAGGAGGAGGAGCCAGAACTGTGCGCAGAACTGGGGGGACGCCTGCCAAGCGCCTCAGGTTGGACATCGAAGATGCTATAGATGTATCTGGGCCTCTTGCAGGTTCAGCTGCGTTACGCACAGGGGGGAGGGGTTTGCGGTGTGTGTTCCCTCTTCCATGTTCCATTTCGGAAGATCACACTACCACAGTGCATGCCCCCATCATATGCCACCTGCTGGGGCATTTCCTTCGCCAGGGCACCATTGATCAACCCAATGGTATCCAACATTGTTTATCCTGCAGGTGGGCCGCGTTTTTGCATAAGCGTGACCCAAGAAGGTGAACGGCAAGGCCACACTTCTCGATGACTTTGGCATTTGCGTATCTACCTCTCCGATTCCCGTTGCCCAGAAAACCGTTCCGCCTCTCAGCAGTTGTTCTTCGGGACGTCGCAACTCGTGGGGACGTTCCGAGTCGCTAACTATGGCATATCCGGGCTGAAGCTGATACGACCGCCCCCGGTACATGACCTTTTTCCTCCGACCTGTTTCCTCACTTACTTGGTACTTGTGAGAGTTTAAATTGCTCAACGTTTTGCGTGAGCCTTTGTGAAGACGCTGCTCATCTCAAAACTATTTTTGTTTGGTGGACCAACACTTTGAGCTGCAATATTAGCTTTGTACCCTGCAACTTTCTCCATACCCTTGAGCCGAACATGGAAACTCTTCGGCCACCACTTCAGCAAGCTCCTTTCGCCCACCACTGGTGCAGGCTGCGAAAAGTTGGAGGCCGGCAATGCAATCAGAAGGATCCAATGTAAGTGATGTTGTGAGTCTTTGAATCACAGGGACGGCGGGGCTGTATTGAGTGACTTGGAACTACACTAGTTCTTTTGGGGCTTTCTTATTGTACTCAAAGGCAGGAGTGCAAGTTGTGACACTCTTTTCGCTAAACACATATACACTTACTAGCTGGGCTTCGCGCATGATCACGGACTCTGTTGCGTGTTGTGTTTGTTTTAGTCTTTCAACGGGGTTGGGTCGCAGCAGATAACTCTGCTTTTAGTTTGCTGTTGTTCAACCTTGATATTTTTCAAGTCTTCTTGTGTGTTTGTTCTCATTCACCAGGGTCGGATTGTTCCGCGCTTCCCGTTCCTGGTATCGGTGCTCCTGCCGCAGTCTCACCTGGTGCAGATCCACCGGAGGAGCCGCCATCGGGAGGCACTGAGAGCAGCCACGCAGTGGTTCCGCTTCAACGGTCCGAAACCACACTGAACTGCACCGCGAAAGGCATACCAGGTGTCTTTGTGCACGAGTTGCCTATTAGACGGGCGGGCTGTTCTTTTTTTTCCGCGCGTGACTGGGGTAGAGTGGTAGAGCCGAGAGGCATTGAGATTCTTTAAATCACACATGGTTGGGGCTTTGGAGATTCATGCATGGGCCATGGGCCGTATTTGGTGCGAAAAGGAAGGCCGCAGAAGCCGCAGCTGTGCGGCCCGCACGGAAGCACAGTCGACCTGTGGGCGCGTGTCGACTGTGAGTCCGACCTGCGCCGTCCATCTCCACAGTCCGCCGCCTGGTGAACGGCTGAGGTCGGACCCCTGGGTCCCCTCGCGCTTTCCGTGCGCACGGCGAGGGCCATTCACGAAGGGGTGGAGCACGGCAGTGCTGCGAGGACGGCTAGGGACCGAGCGAAATAAGGGTGAGTTAGGGCGACGAGGCATGATTTTGAGCATGTGCAGCATCGAAGGTTCCTTGTTCGCATGCATCTTCATGTTTCTGGGTGAACTTGGGTGGATGCCCTCCGCTATGGCCATCGAGAACCGTGATGCGAAACGCACCACTGGCCCTGTCCAGGAGGTGTCTGTGCCAGAGAGCTGGTGCCGCAGCCATGACGACTGGGTGCCCAGGTTTGGGTGTTGAGGGGTGTTGAGGAGTGTCTCTTCGTCACCCGCCACAGTTGCGCTACAGGTCGCACGCTTTTCAGATCTTTGGTATGGCACTGGAACAGTCGGGTTCACCTCCATTCCTGATCGTGCCAAACTCATTTAGATGGTGGATGACTCAGCCCCCCTGCAGACTTCAGTAGAAGCTCTTCATTTGGGCTGATCAGTTGAAGTTACTTCCTCCCACGGCGCCGAGGCTCGAAATCCACCCTCGCAGGCGGGGCCGGTGGGAGCGCGTCCCCGATGAACATGTCCGGTGGAAAACACCGAGTGGAACGTCGAACAAGGGCGGCGAAAGGGGATGAAACGCCGTTTGCTTATGTTTGCTTAAGGCTCCCCCCTAAGTTTTCAAGTTTTATGTTTTTGCAATTTGGGATGCGGAAGCTTTTGGTCGTGAGTTTTTTTAACAGACAGGCCTCCAGAGAGCTGGGCTTGCATCATCCCCAACGCTTCTCACACTGCCCACCCTGATCATCCATGGGGCGCAGCGCCCACCTTTTTGGGCGTTCGCTTGGAAGAGTCCCACTCCGGAGTCCCAGGATCTCGTCTGGGCTCGTCCCGTCGACGTTTTGTCGAGGCGTGCGTCATTTGCCAGCGGGCCTGTGCCAAGCCGGACCCGCTGAAGCCCTGCGCGGCGTGCAACTGCGGATATCGAGCTGCTGGGCTTGGAAGTCTGGCCGTGTTGGTGGGAGCGGATGTCCATGATGTCCATCATCGTCAGCTGGAGGGTCCCAGCTGGATTTCGACGGGTAGGACTTCTTGCGCCACGGACAGGTCTTGAGCCCATGTGAGCCCCCAGCCTCCATGTCCCTATTTCACGAAAGCTAGCACCAGCTAGCTGGAGTTGTCCTTGCTTTAGCAAGTGAGGGGCTGGAATCTTCGGGATCACCGCATCACGATGCATCACGTGAAAACTTCATATGTGGGGCCCCCCCCCCCCCTCCCCCCCCCCCGTGGGTTCAACTCCCCCCTCGGACGCCTCTGGGACACCTCTCGGGCATCTCTTATGGCATCCACTTTGGCTTAACTCCTCCGGGATACGGTGCAACAGATTCAACAAGCTCAGATGTTCATGACATCGACATCGATAGAAGAAACCAAACAAATCATGCAAGCAGCTTTGTTTTGCCTCTGGGACACCTCTTATGGCATCCACACTGGTTCAACTCCTCCGTGGAGGTTTTGGGATACGGTGCAACAGATTCAACAAGCTCACAGGTTCGTGAACACATCGGATGCATCGAACAGTGTGGCAAAGTCCAGCCGCGCTTCCTTAATTATCGGGGACTTCAATTCGAAGGTTGGCTGTGTCATTGCTGTTTGTGTGTCTTACATGTTCACAAACGTTTTACCTCATGAGCATTTGCCTCACTCCGCTTGATGTCCCACCAGTCCGGATGCACCCCTGCTAGCTTTCGTCACCTACCCTCGGCCTCAAGTGGTGCCCTGACTGCATCCAAGCACAAAGGCTGGCTGGTGACTGAGGTTATCCAACAAAACACCTTCCTCACAGTTGAGGAAGAAGATGAGGGCTCCGACGCAGAGATTCCGCCGCGCTCTCGGCTCCCAGGCATCAGAAAATGTGGTTGAGGAGATGGAACTGGTGTAGACTCTATGCGCTGCCCCTCCAATCCATAGAGCAGGAACTTACTTGAAGATTTGTTTGGACTTTTTGATTTTTCCATATTTCTAGGGACAGACATTCACCCAAAACGACCTTCTTTGGCACACATCTGCGGGATGTGTCACGCCCAGGATTCGCCGAACACAGAGCCTGTAGCCCGTGGGCCGTCTCGGTGGCCTGTAGCCATGCGGGCGCTCGCCACACATCGACGCCCCAAGGCTTTGCCCTCCAAGTGGAGGGAAAGGTTTCTTCATTCAAGTGTCCAAGGAAGGAATTTTTGTTGGGGGGGCCCTAAGTGGAGGGGTGGAGAGAATTATGGGAGGATGTTCCTCGAACCTGTTGAGAGGAATGCGACCCGGCCTCCGGGAAGGCTTGGTGCCGCAAGCCGCACCTGGGCCGTGTTTCAAGCACTCCAACCCCCGAAGAAGAGGTAAAAATCCGAGATCGAGAGCCAAGGAACCTTTGGAACATGGCTGACTATGGATGGGATGGATATGATATACAAGTGTCCGATAGCGTCCGAACTAGTCTTTTGGGAGTATCGTTCATACAGTCTGCGGGGAGTTCGAGCTGGATGGCCATGAGTGTCGGAATTGGCCCTCCGTCTCACAGTGCCAGCCAAGCCAAGCTGGTTCAACAGCTGAATGGAGAGTGACACCGGCTGGAAGAGTGACCCGTTGCGCATCCGACAGTGCCCCGTCGCACCCGGAGAACATCTGGGAGCGCCATAGTCGAGTTGAGGATCTGTACAGAATTCACCGGGAAACTGCAAACCTGAGCGATCAGACCCTGACCACCTGTGGATGATCCGGGATGATCCTGAAAGAACACGCTCCAGCGGCTCTATGTCTGGTTCTGTGACGCTCGCTTCTGGTTCTGATTTTCTGAATTTTGCGCCTTCACGCCTCGTGGACCTGCAGGAGGCCGGCACTGGCTTCACATGGCCTGGCTTCACTGCAGCGATTTTCGTCTCTTGTGTCCGCATGGATGGTGAACTGGCGAGGTGAACGGCTCCAGAGTTGTAAGGATTTGTAAGGACGATCTGTCTGGAAGGATTCAGATGTGATGAAGGGCCAACAGATGCTTTTGGCCCTCCTTCTTGTTCCCACTTCTTTCCCGGCCACGCTTCCTTGGCTTTGGCCTTCCTGAACCTTCCTGCAGGCAGTCGTAGGGCATGTGGAAGATGGTGCTTCATGATTCAAGCGCTAGGAGACCACCGGACAAAGGCTTTTCATTGCTTTTCAATGAGTGTGTTGTCAAAACTTGTCCTTCTCTGCACCCGCACTGACCATAGAAAGGGGTGAGAATGTGTGAGAACCGTAGCAGTTTTTAGGGTCCGGAGGATTCTGGAACTGCATCCCATGATGGTGGAAGGCATGACTTGACTGTGAGGAAGCCAACCGCAGCCAACCAACCCATTAAGTTTGGGCACATCACATAGATCACTATATACAGTAGAGCATTATCGTATAAGTCCAATTCGTTGGCAGGATGAGCAAAGTCCAATTTGTTGGCTGGAGGCTCATCTCCGCATGCCCACGTGCACAGGGCTGGCCGCCATTTTTTGCAGGTCTCCTGCAAGGATTGTGTCCGCTATGGTTAGCTTGCACGATCCAAAAGAGGAGCGTTGACCATGCGTGACGCCAAGCCGCAGGGCGGTTATTTGGTCGCTTTTTCCTAAGAGTTGATCCTGCAACGACCTTTCCTCGGTTTGCTTGGTCCTTTTCTCCAAGAGTGGGTCCCAAGCAAATGGCTTCCGGGAGCCATTGAAGCCCGGAGCGGCTCGCTGTCGGGTGGCTCGAAACCTGCAGTAGGTGCCGGTGCGCGGGTTGTGGCCTGTGAAGATGGATGGGGACACCAGAAGATGGGTGGCCAGAGCCCCAGCAGCAGCCCTGTCAGATCTGTCAGCCAGTGCCGGCAGAGCATGTCAGGCAGCTGCGTCTTCGGTTTTGGTCTTTCAGTTTCGTTCGTCCTTGTTTGAGAATCGCTGCGTGGCTTGCTCGGGAGGCCGGACAGACTAAAGGGAAGTCTCCCCATGTAGAGGGAAGGGGTGGTGGAGAACCGGTGGTCTCCACCGGCGGTCTCCACCGGTGAGGTCGGGCAGGTGGAAGATACGGCCCTGACGGGCTGCAAGCTGCTACGGAGTGCGCGGTGGCCCGGGTCTCCGCCCCGTCTCGGAGTGTGTGATGGTTTCTTGGGCATTTGACCACGTTTTCCCCGAACTCATGATGGACTCATGGAAGGGTCTCTTGGAATTTCTGGAAGTCCCATTTTCTCCCGAAATGGACGTGGGTGGATGTGGGTGGTGGGGAACACCACTTCCAGATCCACCTGGTCCGAGCCGGTCCGTCACCGGTGCAGATGCTGTCCGACATGGGTGACGTGGTGTGCTGCCGGGCACCCAGTCGCGCGAGGTGTGCGTCGCGCGGGCGGTGTTTGGGGCATGAAACGTCGCGGTTTGGGAGGTGGAGCGAGACACGGTGTCACTTCATAAGATTGGAAGGTGGGCCACCTGATGGAAAACTGGCAGGAGAAAAGGAAAGCTTGAACAAAGCCACAGGAGGTGGTCCTGAAACCCACGGAGCTAGCAGCTAGCATGCCTGCCGCAGATTCGCATTGCAGGACCCGGTCACGGCCTTTTTCATTCCTTCAAAAGTGTTTTTAAACCTATTGTAGTCCGTGCTTTCTTTATCATCCTACCATACCAAGCCCTGCAAATGCTCTACGACAGATTGGCCATGAGATGTTGAAGACTCTAGAATGCCCTACTGTTTGCCCTGTTTGCTAGATAGGCGGTTTCGACCTCATTGAATCATCCATGTTGGAGCTCATCACCTGTAGCTCGCCTGTAGCTCCGCGGAGGCCTCTCCGGGCTGGGCATCGCCACGCCCATCTCCGTGGTGCGGCCTGTGGGACCGGTTCCTCCGTGCTCGGGCGTTGGACCGGTCGGCCCTGGGGGGTTCATAAGGGGTTTGGGTCGACCTGGGAGTTGACCTGGGAGCCCGGACGATCTGGTTTTGGGAGATGTCTGCCGGGAGCCCTCTAAGGGCCTTGATGCAATGAGGTGGTGTCCTAGAGCCTTTGAACCGTCGCACGGCTGATGCTGATTGCGAGGATCAGTGGGCCTCAGCCGTCCACCCTCGCTTTGCGAGATGTTACCGGTAGCGCCGGGCAGCCAAGGGAGACTGGAGCGAAACACCACAAGTTTCGCGCTGTCCTGCCACGAGTTTCTAGATAAATGCATATATACATGTATATGTATATGTATATGTATATATGTATATATAATACCCAGTGAACAATGCGTATGTCTGTTCATAGCCTTCTATATATTTTGCCATGTCCATGGTTCTGTCACTTCTACTCAGGGCACCCTCACTATAAAATGGGTCCTGGAACTGCATTTTATACACGTCAACCCTCCCCATTGTATAGACACTCATTCACCGGGGATTATATGTATATATATATATATATTTTTTTTTTGGGGGGGGTTTTTTCCCGAATGCGTTGCGAAGGGTTCCCGTTTATAGTTGGGGGTCTGGGGGTTGGAGCTGTGTTCGCGTGACTTGCGTCGTCTGTCGTCGTCTCTCGTCGTTTGTCGTCGTCGTCGCGTCTCAAATTCGCTGCCATTGTGATTTGCAGGACAATGACATGTCGCGCAAGAAACGTGAAGCATTTCGCTGCACAGGCGCAGCGTTTTGTGAGATCTGCAGATTACTGCGCAGTTCCATTGGGATTAGCGTTTGGAGAGTCGTGTTTTTGATGTGGCCGTGCCATTGGGATTTGCGTTTCAGGGTGTGGCATCGAAGCTCGGTTTTCGTGACAAGTCTCAGCTGAAATGATGATTTTGGTGGATGGGAGTGTGCTCAGAACGGGTTGAAATCATTCCAAACGTGTGGTGTGGTGCAAATTTTGTTGAAGCTCACATGAGACGATATTGTCACTTTTCGTGGCAGGCGCAGGACTTTGTGCGGGCTTTGAGGCGTGGAAGTGCGATTCTCGTGGCAGGCGCAGGGTTGCGAGGTGTGACGGAGGTGACATTTCGTGGCAGGCGCAGTACTTTGTGCTGCCCGTTAGACGTGTAGACGCGGAAAGACTCGTGGCAGGCGCAGGGAATCGTGAGGTTGTGAGTGGTGGTGGAGGTGAGTGTCGCTTTCACATTGGGATTGGCGTGTGAGCGGATGTTGTTTGGAGGGGCTGGAATCGCGAAACTGCTTGGCAGGGCTGCGTGATGTGTGTGCTCCGATGGGTGTATCGTGCGTGTCGAGTGTGCGAAATGCAGGCGAGAGTGCGATTTGTCCCATGCGCGCGCAACCCTCTGCGGAGATCGTGCGTGTCGAGTGCGCGAAATGCAGGCGAGAGTGCGATTTGTCCGGTGCCCGCACCGCCCTCTGCGGAGATCGAGCGTGTCGAGTGCGCGAAATGCAGGCGAGAGTGCGATTTGTCCGGTGCCCGCGCAACTCTCTGCGGAGATCGTGCGTGTTGAGTGCGCGAAATGCGGGCGAGCACTGGCGAATTTGTAGTGCAACTTTAGTATGCGGAGTATCTGGGGAGCTGGAAGATGAGAACTGGTGACTTGGTAGTACAACTTTTAGTACGCAGAGCAATCTGTGGAGCTGGACGCTGAGAACTGGCGACTTTGTAGTATAACTTTAGTACGCGGAGCAATCTGTGGAGTGGAAGGTGAGAACTGGCGACCTTGTAGTACAACTTTAGTACGCGGAGTATCTGGGGTGCTGGAAGAGTGTCCCACAAGAGTGTCCCGCAACAGTGTCCCACACGAGTGTCCCACAAGAGTGTCCCACGAGAGTGTCCTACAAGACTGTCCCACAAGAGTGTCCCACAAGAGTGTCCCACAACAGTGTCCCACAACAGTGTCCCACAAGAGTGTCCCACAAGAGTGTCCTATAAGAGTGTCCCACAAGAGTGTCCCACAAGAGTGTCCCACAAGAGTGACTCACAAGAGTTAAGAGTGTCCCACAAGAGTGTCCCACAAGAGTATCCTACAAGAGTGTCCAACAAGAGTGTCCCACAAGAGTGTCCTACAAGAGTGTCCCACAAGAGTGTCCCACAAGAGTGTCCCAAAGAGTGTCCCACAAGAGCGTCCAACAAGAGTGTCCCGCAACAGTGTCGCTCAAGAGTGTCCCACAAGAGTGTCCCACAAGAGTGTCCTACAAGAGTGTCCCACCAGAGTGTCCTACAAGAGTGTCCCACAAGAGTGTCCTACAAGAGTGACCCACAAGAGTGTCCTACAAGAGTGTCCTACAAGAGTGTCCCACAAGAGTGTCATTTGGGCATATGTAGTTTTTCGAAGGTGTTTGCATTCGGGTTCGTGGGTTCCATCTTGTTTGTTTTTTCCTAAGAAGGACATGTCAGCGCTTCTATGATTTCTACAACATGCTCCAACATGCTACAACTAGTCCTGCATACTTGGCTCACCAAGCCTAAAGCAGTCTCCAGCTTGCGATCTCGGTGGCACATGGGCAGACCGGACGTGTGTTGGGTCGGTGAGTCCCGAGGCACCGGCGGAGGAACAGGCGCCCCGCCTTGAACGCGCGGAACGGGTGTCCGTGTTGGGAGTGATCAGAGGCGTTGTGCACGGCGATGATGGGACCGCAACGGGGGAAGCCAGTGAAATGGCTTTGACTCGTACTTTCACCTGACAAAAGCCACTTCCACAGGACGAAGTCGTCACAGCGAGGAGAAAGCAGGGTTCTGAAGGGTAGCAAGTAGAGCCGCTGGTTTGCACCTCAAGCCACGGCGAAACCAGGCCTTTCGAGGAGAAAAGAGTGACCGATTGGTCGTGGCATCCTCAGACGTGCAGGGGGAACCATGACATGGATGGACAAGGACACGGGGAACCCATGGAGACCGCAAAAGGAGGACTCCCGCGCCCCTTGGTCGGAGCCAGAGTCTGGAGCCATGAAGAATGATGTGAGCCATTTGGGTGATGTCCGCTTTCGTCATCTCGGTTCACACTGGCGTGACGGAGTGCCAAACCTGGAAGGCAGAAGGGTAGATGAGAGCTCGAAGTCGTTGGATTTGACCACCTGTTGTGGCGTGAGAGGACCACCTGTTTGGCACGCGTGGGCGTGCTCAGGTTCGAAGGCTTGCTGGACACGCCCTTGAGGCTCTTTCGAAGCCCCGGACCCCCAGCACCAGGCGGGGCCGCTCACGGGCGGGGTTCGCGCTGAACAGTTCGGACCTCCATGCCTTGAAACAAGGCATTTTATCCTCTGCAAGGGCATTGTATGGCATGTTATAAGGCCCCAAATTCTAGAGTCTATGCCTATGAAGGCTTCAAACCTGAAAGCTGAAGGGGGATCCCTTTTCGAAGTCGCCTGTTTCGGACCTCCTTCCGAGTCCTGGCCGAGGTCGCCCGGAGGCGGCTTCACCGGAAGCTCCAGAGGAGGCGCCGACACGGTCCGGACACGGTCCACCGGACATGGTGGGGGGAGGCGGAGAGCAGCGAAAGGCGTGGTTGTGCTTGGGGATGAAGGACTTCGCAGCATGGCGCCCTGACAGCCAGGCAATGACAGCATCAATGACCAAATCAGCCACAAGCCACATTGGCGACGTCAACGACCAGTCAGCAACAATGGCAAAGACAAGCCGGAATGGGAACTCAGAACGACAAGAGCAACCACTAACCGACCAGCAGGATGCCGACGTATGAGTGGAGGCCAAAAATTGGAAAAGGACATGGGCTGTGACTCGTCGCAGTGGAAAAGAAAAGGACATGGCAAGCCACAATGACAAGGGTACTGGCCACATGAGCTGCAGCAATTGCACACCAGAACGGGAGCAGCGAAACCAATGAGAATGGCAACCTCAACGACGAGTCACAATGACGTTGGCAAGCAGTGGGGATAGCTGATAGCTCAGATCGAGGCTTGAGGCATAGCCGAAGTGAACCCGAAATAATACGAGTAATTAAGTGCATAACTAACTAATTAATAAGGGCTGCCGCCCCTGCCGCCGACCCCGGGGACAGAGGCCAGCTTTGGAGTTTGAAAGCCAACCATCACGGTAGCAGTGATCCTTAGAAACCACCTAGACTCATTGCCACAGATGCCACATGCAGCCGCCCAGACTGAAGAGCATCTTCTAAGCAGTGGCTTAGCCATGAAGTCACGATCCGGCCATTGTATGCTTTACAGGTCATCAAATACTCGCCACTCTTCTTGATGACCTAGCTGAGATGTTGTCAGGCATCATACAGATGGGTTCATTACTCTAGCAACGCCACTCAGGAACCACCAAGCAAGCAAACAAGAAAAGCTGTTGCCAGTCTAAACTAGTCACTAGCTTCCTCGTGAAAGGTGTTTGCGAGTGCTTGATCCCCCATGTATAGCAGTAGCTGCAGAAGTGTTTGTAAGCTCTGTCCAGTTGCTCATCAAAGGTACCCGGACCAAAGTACAGAAGTTCTTCAGCTAAAATGCTCCTAGGATTTGCATGTGCGACAATCCGAAACCTACATACTTTCTACTCTACAAAAATGCTTCGCCATCTCGCGCAATGTGGTCCCTACATGGGCTGTGAACGCTGTGAACGGGCTATGAACTTCAGTGGTGAGTGCCTTGACTCCAAAGGGAGGTGGTCTACTTGCCCCTACTTAACAAAAACAACAAACCAAGTATACAAGAACTATGATATCCAATGTTTGTGCATGGCATGAGTAATCATGGCAAGCTTCAGCGCCCCAGCGTTGGTGTTGTAGGAAATACCAAGGTTTATAGTGTGCATTGAGCACCAGGATATGATTCGATGGCCGAAGTGCGGCAACAAGACCAATGGGCCTAGTCATGAACACAACGTGCATTGTATTGGTCCCCATTTGTGCAAAGATTCACTGGATTGGGGCAAAAGTAACGTAACCACAAAGCAAACTTACTGATTGGAATACATGTGTCAAACACCAACAGGCGGAAGTTGTCTGGAGAGAAACTCTTCAAGTGTGAATTCGGAAGTCAGCCACGATGCTGAGTCTGAGCAATTGTAGTATCGACCAGCATAGGGTCCCTTTGTTCTGCAAGGACATCTAAAGCATATGTACTCGGACTGCCGCGACGATGCAAACTTCCATGTTTTTTTGTGGAATTTTCCTTTCCGAGCACAGACCTTGCCACAAGAGATTCACAGGCACCGGCTCTGCCAAGCAAGGCTACGGTGAGGGCTGGGAAACGGCGCTGTCGAAAGACCTAAAGAATGCCGTACACCGGCGCCAAAACATACTCAACTGATCGCGCATTTGGGGCCAAACGTTGCGTCCGGATCCCTAGAAAAAAAACCTAGTTTTCGCCCATGTTCTTGCCCATCACCCACGTTCTGGCCCATCCGTACCCTGTGACCCTGGGCCCGAGCACAGACCTTGCCACAACATATTCACAGGCACCGGCTCTGCCAAGACAGGCTGCGGTGAGGGCTGGGAAACGGCGCTGTCGACAGACCTCAAGAATGACGTACACCGGCGCTGCCAGGCTAAAGGCTGCGGTGTCGGAGTACCGCGAACGTAGCAATCCAGGGAGGGTTGAGGGGTTTGAAGGGTTTGAGGGGTTTGAGGGGTTTGAGGCACGACACAATCTATTTCCACCAAAAACTACTCCAAAACATACTCCACTGATCGCACATTCAGGGCCAAACGTTGCGTCTGGATCCCTAGAAAAAAACTACTTTGCGCCCATGTTCTCGCCCATCACCCACGTTCTGGCCCATCCGTGCCCTGTGAACTTGGGCCCGAACCTTGCCACAAGAGATTCACAGGCACCGGCTCTGCCAAGCAAGGCTGCGGTGAGGGCTGGGAAACGGCGCTGTCGAAAGACCTAAAGAATGACGCACACCGGCGCTACCGGGCTAAAGACTGCAGTGTCGGAGTGCCGCGAGCATAGCAATCCAGGGGGGGTTGAGGGGTTTGAAGGGTTTGAGAGGTTTGAGGGGTTTGAGGCGTTTGAGCGGTTTTGAGGCTTGGTAAACGACACAATCTATTTCCACCAAAAACTACTCCAAAACATACTCAACTGATCGCGCATTCGGGGCCAAACTATTTCCACCAAAAACTCCTCCAAAACATACTCAACTGATCGCGCATTCGGGGCCAAACGTTGCGTCTGGATCCCTAGGAAAAAAACTAGTTTGCGCCCATGTTCTCGCCCATCACCCACGTTCTGGCCCATCCGT